ATAACACCAAATGATACGTTGAGGAGCAGGACTTATAGTTTTCTGTGCATTCTCCAAGAGAGAATTTACCACACAGTCTTGCCGCTTTGGGTACACCCAGCTACGATACATGTGAAAGGATGCTGCAAAACTGTAGATCCTGCTGAGATTTCAACTGGTTTGCTTTGAACATCTCCATGGGTATTTAAAGTATGACGCTTGAGGTTGCCGCGTGTTGAAAATACTTTGGCACATATATTGCACGGAAAGGACATGTTCACACCACGAACGTCTAGCTGGAAGTGATAATAAGTTGGCGTATTCGTTCTATATATTTATTAATGCATCTATCCAGTATTATTCTGTATCTTTATCTTCCTTATCTTTATCTTTATATTCTTTATCTTTATCTTCTTTATCTTTGTCCTTATCTTTATCTTCCTTATCTTTATCCTTATCTTTATCTTCCTTATCTTTATCTTCTTTATCCTTATCTTTATCTTCTTTATCTTTATTCTTATCATTATCTTCCTTATCCTTATCTTTATCTTTATCCTCTTATCTTTATCTTCCTTATCTTTATCTTAATCTTTATCCTTATCTTTATCTTCCTTATCTTTATCTTCTTTATCCTTATCTTTATCTTCCTTATCTTTATCTTCCTTATCTTTATCTTCTTTATCTTTATTCTTATCATTATCTTCCTTATCCTTATCTTTATCCTCTTATTTTTATCTTCCTTATCTTTATCTTCCTTATCTTTATCCTCTTATCTTTATCTTTATCCTCTTATCTTTATCCTTATCTTTATCCTTATCCTTATCTTTATGTTCCTTATCCTTATCTTTATCTTCCTTATCTTTATCTTTATCCTCTTATCTTTATCCTTATCTTTATCCTTATCCTTATCTTTATCCTTATCTTTATCTTCCTTATCCTTATCTTTATCCTTATCTTTATCTTCCTTATCTTTATCTTTATCCTCTTATCTTTATCCTTATCTTTATCCTTATCTTTATCCTTATCTTTATCTTCTTATCTTTATCCTTATCTTAATCTTTATGTTCCTTATCCTCATCTTTATCCTTATCCTTATCTTTATCCTTATCTTATCTTTATCTTATCTTTATCCTTATCTTATCTTTATCCTTATCTTTATCTTCTTTATCTTTATCTTTATCTTTATCCTTATCTTTATCATCTTTATCCTTATCTTCTTATCTTCCTTATCCTTATCTTCCTTATATTTATCCTCTTATCTTTATCCTTATCTTCCTTATATTTATCCTCTTATCTTCCTTATCTGACATGCACAAGGAGCCAAGTTCGATAAGCTCAGAATCGAACTCTCGATAACTCGGAGCCTTGTATAAATTGCTTTCTCTCTTCCGATATAAGCTTCCTTATTGTTGTGTTTTACTCATTTGCTTCCAAACCGTCGAACAGAAATGATCAATCTTCTAAGGCACAAGCCATATCTTGAATTCTTGGGCACGTCCGAGCCTGATCAACAACAAGCACTACTGGAAACAGCAAGCGCCGAACAAGTACACTGCCTGTGTCTCTGTGTGGAAAACGTTATGAAAAGAAAATATTTAATGCCGAAGCATGTGATGAAGAAACTCCGACCTTACAAAAATGAAATGCTTAGGTTGGCAGATAGAGGAAAATGTGGAAGAAGAAAAAAACGGATACTCGTTCAACGTGGTGAAGGTTTCCTTGGGCTATTACTAAGTCCTATTTTGGAAAGCCTGGCTGAACTTGTATAAAAGCCCTGTGACTACAATTTATACATCATTTCAACAATGAACATCGAAAGTAAAACATCTCCGCGACATTGGCGCATTGAAGATATACTTTTGTATCTCAACAATAATGTCAAAAAAGCTACAGCAGAAAAAATTCTACATTCTATTCTTATATCAAGTGATATTTTAACTTGGAATCCTCAGGGTAAGATTGTTTATCATGGAAGAGACATTCCTGGTACTAACATCGAGAACTTTTTACAATACGCACTTTTACCATACAACTCTCACATTCCTGAACCACGAGGGCTCAACCTGTTTACAAAAGGACTAGTAGAAGTAGGGGTTAATAAAGATTTAATTAAAAACGAGTATTTATTGACAAAAATGGCAAAGGAGGAACATGAAATGCCACAATCTGAGAGTGATGTTGAAAGCAAATCTGGTGAAGAGAACAGGGAATCTGACAAGAGTGATAATGAAAGCGAATATGATGATAATGAGGATGATGATAATGAGGATGATGGTGAGCCCGAGAGACTAGCTTGTAACCATTGTGGAGAAGAGACTGGTCACATTGTATACTTAATGAAGTGCCCAAGATGTTCGTGGAAAGATTTCTACTGGGGCAAAGACGCTCAATGTATGATATGTGATGAACAGTCACCTCTACTGTTTTCGCATGTCATTGGTTTCTGCGAGGTATGTTCGTATGGTACGTCTAACAGCAAGGCGAGCGGATTGGAGTTCACACCAAAAATGGACAAATAAAAGACCCAGCAGATTGGACCAAACGTGACCTAGCGCGAATGACTCCGGAAGCAAGAGAGGATTATGAACGTTTTATATTGAGCGATAGACCGAAATATATTCCAATGAAGCCGGAAAAACTTGCAAACTTATCCCCAGAAGATAAACAAGAATATGAGAACTCTTTAAAAATAACAAAAACACCTAGACGTTACGCTCTTAGAAGTAGACCTTACTAAATTTTGTAAAACATTTTGAAGAAATAAATTTAAAAACTAAAATATTGTGCAAATTTTTGCCCGCAAAGCCCGCTCTTTCCGCCCGCGCGAAAAGATCCGTGTACAAATATGTTGTACTTTAATATATGCATGTACCCGCAAAGCCACGCGCCTGATTTTAAGGTATACACCTGCGTTAAAAAATAATCCTTATCTATCCATCGGGATACACTTAGTTATGCAAATTCGTATTACCTTAATCCCCTTAATTACCTACACGCCTCCTAATGACTTAGCAACGCATAACAACGCAACATTTGCAAAGTTTAAAACATGTTTATTGATACAAATAACAGACGATAGTGTCAAAAAGTATTACAACTGTTTTAATTCTTACTTCTACTCTTGATAAGCTTTCTTATGATCATCTTAACAGTATATATGTGATCATCTTAACAGTATATATGTATGTAGGAGGATTGCTAAATAATCTTGAACATGTAAATATTGACCATAACAACGACGTTGACAACTCGGGATTAGGAACTGTTTAGTTTAAAATATGTCTTGATTTTTGTAAGGAAAAGATTCCTCGCTATGGAACATACGAAAAATCCGTCAATATACATGTGGAAATTTATCTCTTCCGAGCAAAGATACGGCTATATATTAATTTCGATAACAATTTTGCCATGCGAGGGACACAAACTGTTCAACACACAAAGTCTTTCAACCCCTTGTGCGACTGCACTCGCAAAAATTCCTTCCAATAAATTGTAAGATGTGATTTTACCGTGTAGACACGCCATGACTGATGTGGAACAAATACAGAACTATGCCTGCTACAAAACACTTGTAGATTTTATACAGACACTTGTATAAAAGTTCATAGTAAGCCAAGATTAATCCCTATTGTATCACACACGTGGGGAGAACGCTAAAAAATGCGTAGTCAGCAAGTTTCGCCCGATCGTGTTTAAGCTCGCCCGCGTGACGTCATTGCATATAATTATGACGTATATTAATGAGTGACGTCATCACTCCTCCTCACTCCTCCTCACTCCTCCTCACTCCTCCTCACTCCTCCTCACTCCTCCTCACTCCTCCTCACTCCTCCTCACTCCTCCTCACTTCTCCTCACTCCTCCTCACTCCTCCTCACTCCTCCTCACTCCTCCTCACTCCTCCTCACTCCTCCTCACTCCTCCACCACACTCCACCACCTCCACCACCGCAAAAAAGGGGCCCGAACGGCCTCTATATTACTACTTACTGCTAAATTTGATGGGTCTTCTACATCAATTTCCGGAAATGATGGAATTGAAGCCATCGTAAATCGTACTGTAATTTGCTAATGAAATCTCATCCTTGTCGCCATTGTTGTGAACACACTTTGTTAATAAACCGCCATCTTACATTCTGCCCCCTGAGGCTATATCACGTGACTAGAAGATCACCTGATACTAAAAGGACACTACAGTTACCTGCATTCAAGTCTACCCTAATTAACTTGTACATTACAAAGTTATCAACATACAGTCCTCCTGGTTGTTCCGGCTAATTATAGTCATTCCTAAACTTGTTTTTGTCATGTTAGTCTTAGGTAGGAATATGCACAGTAAAGCGCTTGTCGGAGTTATGTATAGATCTATCCGCATGCTTTCTACGGCAAAGTGGTTGGAAAGTCTAGAGTCCCTGCTTAGTCAACTAACTGTCACATGGGATGGAATGCTTATCCTAACCGAAGACATGAACATTGACATGCTTCAAGCTGAAAATAGTTTAACAAAACAATACCAATGCATGGTGGATGTTTTTGGTCTTCATCAAGTTATAGAAAAACCCACACGTGTCACGAAATCCTCTAAAACATTGATAGACCATCTTATTACTAACTTCCCACAAAGGATTTCTGACACTGGCATTATTCCCTGCTCAATGGACCATTTGCATTATAGACTAAATTTTGATCTGGACAAAAATTTCATCACAGCTTAAAAGAGCATCACAAAATTAGTAATATTCCAAAGTTTCGTTGCGAAATGTTGTAAAATGCAGATAATATAGCCTTGCGAAATTTGCAATTTTCAGTCATTTTGTATTACAAACGGGAAATTGATGCCCCAACACCCGATTGGGCTGTCAATTTCCCTTGCGTAATACAAAATGACTGAAAAACAGCAAACTTCGCAAGGCTATATTATCCGCATTTTACAACATTTTGCAACGAAACTTTGGAATATTTCTAATTTTGCGATGCTCTTTCAAGCTGTGATAAAATTTTTGTCTAGATCAAAATTTAGTCTATAATGCAAATGGTCCATTGTCAGCGATCATGATGGCATTTACGCAAGTATTAATGTACGAGTTCCCAGGTTTGAAGCACGGCACAAATATATACGGGATATTAAGTCTCTAAATGAAAGTTTATTTATTGAGGATTTCTCCACGTTACCTTTGTCTGTCATAGCTTATACTGATGACCCAGACGAACAACTAGAATCCCTAAACTCCCTGTTCGTTGAGTGTTTAGAAAGGCATGCACCCTTGAGAAGAGTCCGAGTGACGCGTCCCCCGTCTCCATGGATGAAGTCTGCCAATATCCAAACTCTTCAAAAAGAAAGAGATCATTTAAGACATAAAGCTCATAAAAGCGACGCTTGTAACGGTGTATGGACCGCTTTTCGACTTGTTAGAAACAACTTAAAGTCTGCAATAAGATCAGTACGGAAGGCATTCATCGAAAAAGCGCTGTCTTCTAACAAATCACGCGATATATGGAGAGTTATCCACAGGATTCTGAAGCCAAATCCGAAGCCTCTTCGCGTAGACCCTGACGAACTAAATACCCATTTTGCCACCACGACAGAGAGAACACTCGAGGCCTCTGCTGTGTCTTTGAGTGACCTGACAAGCCTAACAGACAATCTGCCTGAACAGAGTTCTAATGGCGATCAATTTAATCTGAAACCTGTCACCCAAGAGGATGTCTTCAAATGTATACGTGCATTACGCTCAGATTGTTCCACTGGTGTTGATAATATTCCAGCCAGATTCGTCAAGTTGGTCGCGGAACATCTTGCCTGTCCTCTAACTAGCATAATAAACAAATGCATTAGCAACGCATATTTCCCAAAGCTGTGGAAAATAGCCAGAGTCTCCCCAATTCCTAAAGTAGAAAACCCAACATCCAATGACCAGCGACGGCCAATCTCAATACTTCCAGTGTTATCAAAGGTGTTTGAGAAATTGGTTGCTGGACACGCTGCTACCTGATCGCATTTCAGGTTTTCGAAAGGGACATTCGACAACAAGCGTCCTTTTGGGGATACGAGACGATATTCGTCATGCTATGAATAAAGGGGAAATTACCTTGATGGTCCTAGCAGACTTTAGCAAAGCATTTGACACTATTTGTTTTAAAAGCACCATTGAAAAGTTTTATAAGTTGGGCTTCTCAAAGACCTTCCTGAAGTGGTTGCTGAGCTATTTATCTGGTCGTTCCCAGTTTGTGCAGATAGACGATAAATCTTCTTCTCGTAAACCAATACATTTTGGAATTCCTCAAGGATAAATCCTGGGGCCATTGATTTTTAACCTCTACGTTCCTGACTTAAATGACGTCATTTCTTCTCATACGAACTGTTATCAGTATGCAGACGATACAACCTTGTATAATCATTGTAAAGTGGCAGACCTCACGACTGGGGAAACGAGCATGAATAAAACCCTCACTAAACTTAGCAATTGGTCACAAGGATCGAATCTGGCACTTAATCCAACCAAGACAAAATGTATGCTGTTCACTACCAGTCAGATGTCAACATACCACTCCCTGTCATCGCGCTTTCTGCAGCTTGCTGTTGAAGGGAAAGTAGTGGAACGAGTAAAATCAACGAAACTACTCGGAGTACACCTAAAAGAGAATCTAAAATGGGACGCCCATGTGAAACATCTTGCCTCGACGTGCTATGGCACCCTAGAAAATCTCAGAAAAATTAAGAACTTTACAACTTTCACCCTGAGAAAGCATCTGGCTGAAAGCTTAATTATCTCTCGCTTAGACTTTAGTGACATAGTATTCTATCCACTAACCGAACATCTACTCAATAGACTACAGCGAATACAGTACTCAGCTGCTAGTTTTGTGACTGGACGTTATGTAAATAGTATTGAATCGATTTTAAAATTGGGTTGGTTACCCATGCGAGAACGAAGGGACTGGTATATTCTTAAAGCCGCACATAAGGCGTTATATAGTAGCGATTGGCCTCTCTATGTTAGCCTTGAAAGGTCTGAACACACGTGTTTTACGGTCTAATGCTCAAGTCAATTTAGTTATACCTTTAGTTTCTAATACCTTTCAAGATTGTTTAGCTTCATTATTTAATTCTCTACCAGCTGATGTAAAATCATGCACAGATCGTAGAGACTTCTCCAGACAAACTTTTAATATTTTAAAGTAACGCTGTCTCACTATTTAATTGTAATGCTTAGGTCTAGGTTTGCAACTTTCTTACTATTTCTTTAGATATTGTAGTAGTAGTTTTATCAGGTGAAGAGCCATTGTATGGAAATACTGATAATAAATCATTATTATTATTATTATTATTATTATATATGATGAAGTTAAGTTTATTAATGTATCTATAAGCTCTTTAGGTGTATTTGGTGAATCGACGAATACTTTATTTGATGTGCTCCATGATCTGAAGTACGACGAACAATGTATTAAATATGTAAAAAAGAAAATAATTGCTACTTGTATTCGCATGTCGTATTATATATTCTGTAGACGAAACAAAGACTGGAACAAACCAGAACTTTTAAACTTTTAACTAAATTTAAAAGATTTTCACATGTATATATATTTTAGCTTTAAACTCAATTCAAGTGGACATCGATAAGCTACCTTTTATTAAGTGAGGTTTATCAATGTATATATAGTATATCGTAAATATCTAATAAAAAGTTTCCATTATTATTATTATTATTATTATTATTATTATTATTATTATTATTATTATTATTATTATTATTATTATTATTATTATTATTATTATTATTATTACTCCAGCCAAGTGATCCAATCACATTGCAAGATCTAAATTCAAAAATCAAGCTTTTAAATGACGCGATATACAGCTACTTTGCAAATAATTATGGACATACTGAAACTGTACCCGACAAAAATATGGTAGCTAAATATAAAGAGTATACGGTTAAAGAGTTAAAGAAAGCTTTACAAAAGTTAAAATCCAAAAAGGGTGAACTCAGTGAAATTAAATACGTATCGCGTACATTGCGTGACAGGCTCCGTAACAATGGCAACGACGCCGATGACTTAAATGACAGTGAGTCGTTTAATCACAACAAATATCTGGAACGAAGCTTTTGGGGCTATGTTAAAAATATAATCAATAGAAAAGACGCAGTATTACCATCATTTAACATGACTGATTGCCTTTCTTATTTCTCTAAATCTCTGGCTAAAATTAATCCTAACAAGCTATTTGCAATTCCCAGCTGGATCCCAAAGTTATCTGATCCTGCAGTTCAATTTAACCTTGACCCCCCGACCTATCAACAAATTACAAATGTTATACGCAAAATGAAATCGTCTGGTTCTCCTTGCCCTCTTGATCAACTTTCTATAATAAGTTTCAAGCATTGTCCTTATCTGAGAACTTACCTTACTGGGCTAATTCACGATATTTGGCTATCTGGAACTGTCCCAACTGAGTGGAAAAGAGCATGTACCATACTAATCCACAAGAAAGGCAACAATAATGATCCTTCAAATTTCCGCCCCATAACACTCGAATCCATACCTTTAAAAGTATTTACATCTTGTCTCCGAAACGCAGTATACTCCTTCCTCGCATCTAATAACTTCGTCGAACACAACATACAAAAAGGCTTCACCCCCAACCTATCTGGCACTCTAGAACATACTGCACAAATGGCTGATATTATTAATAAAGCTCGGATCAGACAACGCTCTGTTGTCATCACCCTACTTGATCTTAAGAATGCCTTCGGCGAAATCCATCACAACCTCATTCAATCCGTACTTGACTACCACCATATCCCTGATCATATAAAATTTGTTATAAAAAGTTTATATACTGATTTCCAAACCTCGATAATTACCTCTGAATTCCGCACTCCTTTTATGACAGTTGGCCGTGGCGTATTGCAAGGAGATTGCCTCAGTCCTCTTCTTTTTAACATGTGCTTCAATACGTTCATTCAGCATATCAAGGCTGAAAAGTACCGTCAATTTGGGTTTTCCTTCAAGTTGCTAAATCCCATCCATTGGTTCCAGTTTGCTGATGACGCGGCTGTAATTACTGGCCAAGAATCCGAAAACCAACATCTATTAAATCGATTTTCTATCTGGTGCCAATGGTCCGATATGATTATCCGAGTTGACAAATGCAGTACCTTTGGCATTAAAAAAGCGATCACCAAATCAGTTCAGTACTTGCCAAAACTCCTCATCAGCAATCAACTAATACCAAAAATCACCATTGGAGAATCATTTCAATATTTAGGACGTTACTTTGATTTCCACATGTCGAATGATAATCACAAAACTGAACTAACCACCCTACTTAACGAACTAAT